TTTTGCAATGTAAAGGTCTATTTAAGAATATAGAGTAGTAAGAGCATCAGATATAGAATTACGAAAGGCTTTATATTAGAGAGAGGAGAACTTGAACTAATACAGCACAGTGGTTAAGATTGCTGGTTTTGGGTGAGCTGAGATAGAACCATTAGAGAATTTTTAAAAAGTACTTTATACTATAATTTTAAGACAGTTAAAATATCAGCTAAAAAATTTTAAGACTTTGGAAAAGATTCATACTAATATAATTCATAACACTAATAGAACTTTTATTATCCATTATGAAACTATTTGACACTAATCTAAAGGAAAGAAAAGGTTACTTCTGAAATATAATTAACCTGTTTTTACTTGGGAAGAATAGGAGGTTAAAAATAGAGTTATGATCTTCATTTGTATCTTTGGGCAGATTCACCTCTTGAATGAATGGAAATTTCATAGAACGATGAGGGGCTACCACATTACTAATTTTCTAGTAGAGCTGATCAAACATAGATGGTCTGAAGTTCTCTTTTAATATAGCATACATAAGAGAATCTAGAGTCCATGCGTAATTTTAAAGTTTTTATATTGAGTAAACTTCATTAAGGGTATTAGGCTGACATAGTTACAGGACATAGAGCAGATAGTTGACAAAACTTTACTGGGTACAGTGACAATAAGGAGAAAGTGGATAGGGTGGTTGTTTCGTACAGTTTTCTGTAGATTTTGAAATTTAGAGCTACTTTGCGCATCAATTTCTATCCTACGGCCAAAAAGATATTTTCGCATCCCTTAGGGTTGCATGCAAGGTCCATCATCATCTGTTCCCTAACTGTCCTTTTGGCTTCAGCTCCTCTTCCAGCTGCTCTGAACCCTTGAACTTTTTCCTTATTGTTACTGTACCCAGTCATTCCTCCGGCCATCTGCACCTTTCTACTTCCAGGCCTTCATTATGTTGTTGCCTCTGGCTGGAATATCTTCTCTGTACTTTTTGCAAAGCTTGGCTCAAATACTGACTGCTGTAGAATGCCTATGCAGAATTTCAGTCTAATTTAAACATTTTTCTCCTCTCTGTGCTTCCCTTCTCACAATACTTATGCTGTAAGTAATGACTGATTGAATATCTGTTTTCCTTATCAGATTGTGATTTCTCTGAGGGCAGGATTACTCTAACTCAATCTTGTATCCCCAAGACTGGTACTATTTATTGAGCACTTTCTGTGTATTAACTCTTTTAATATTTAAAATACACTTGTGAGGTAGGCACTAATTTAATCTCCATTATATCAGTGAGGAAACTGAGTCCCAGGGAAGTTAAGGAACTTATTCAATGCCACACAGCTAGTAACAGATGGAGCTAAGATATGAATGCCCAGGCAGTGTGGCTTTAGAAACTGTCCTCTTAACCATATTCTCTGTTGTCATGCCAGTGCTTGGCATGTGGTGGTCCCTTGTGTATGATGATGGGATGAATGACTGGTGATAGAAGCAGGTAATACTGAAGCAGTGAGACCTTATCATGAGCTGTTGCACAGCCTCAGAGAGCAGTTATATAAGGTTTAATTGTGATAGAGACAGTTGGAGTAGAGAGACTAACTGGGGAAGCCATTATCTACCAGACTCACGATTTCATATCTTGTAGTTCATCAGGGACTGTCCTTGAGGTCAGGAAAGGCCTCTGATATGTAGAAGGACATGAACAAAACAGTTGGGAGAGGGAAAAGCATGTCAATTCAAGAAATCACTGGTATTTCAGATGCAGAATGTTTTCACTGATTTACAAACACTGATGCATTTACTCAAGCAACAGGAAAATTAATTAGACACTTTCTTTGTACCCTGCACTGTTCTAACTGCTGTGGGAGATGTGCAAAAATGTATCAGCGGTGCCAAAGTTTGACTGTATTGTGTTAAAGTAAAGTGTATGAAGAAAATCCTATTTTCACATTGAAAAACATGTCGTAATCGGGTATGTGCTTTATATTTATCTCCGGGCACCACAGCATTATAAACATTATTAACAATCTGATAAAGCTACAGCTACTATAAACATTTATGATCACTTAAAATAATAAAAATGCTGTAAAAAAAGACATAAATGTACCTTATACTTTGATTGTAGTTGACACTAATGTAGTATCAAGTATACACATAACACTTAAAAATATAATTCCATTCTACCATAAATTTGATTGGAAACTAATATGCTAGCCTTAATTAACATTAAATATTTAAGTAGCAATAATTTTCTATGCCTTCTTAGGAGTTTAGAAGGGCATTGCTGAAATGATTTGGATAGCCCAAGTTCTTAAAAGCCCCGTCTCAGAATGTTATACTAATGCCTTTTTTCCCCTACTTAAATTTTGCTGAAGCAAGCAGAGGCACTGAAATAATTCTTCTCCTTTAAATTAGCCTCAAAATACCAGTTACTGAAATGTTGAAGATTTTATGGTAATAAAACTATTTTTCCCACTGCAAAGCATTTAAGAAAGAGTTAGGGTTAACCCTCACATTTTTATTGTCATCTCTCATCGCTTCTATGCATTTGCTCTGATTCAGACCCAATTAAGGTAATCAGCAAAGAGTGAATGCTAAGTCCCTTTACTTGCCACTTCACTAACACCAGAGTATTGAAGGAAGCTTTGGACTTCTATCCTTAAAAGCATATCTTAGATTTTATTGTCTGTTATCTCCATCTGAAGAACCCACAAACATTACTAAAAACTGAAATCATTGTCTTTCCATCGAGACCTTTTCTTCTCCACTTATCTATTCATTCAGCAAATGCCTATCTAGAGTTGAGCGGATAAATGAAATAAGAAAAAAATTACCAGGTCATCAGTATAGGCTTAAAAAAAAAGAAAGTTGCATGATACGTGTATCATTCAGGGGTCAATGCAAGCAAGAGGAGCAAATACCCTACAAGCAATTTACTACAAAGAATTAGGTGCTTACAAAATCTTTGGAAGGCCCAGAGGTGGGGACTGTTTCTGGACATTTTGTTCAAGGTCATATGACTGAGCCGCGACCATTGGTCAGGAAACTGCTGCTACTACTATCATTACTGCCTTTACAACTTCCTTACAGCCTTGAAGGTGGTGGGTTGTCAATACTAGTGTTAGCTGGAGCCTCTTTCTTGCGAATCATAACTGAAAAAATAAGGATTTCATCTCTTTTTCCACCTTCCAAATCTCACATAAGTGCATTTTACTGGCAGAACCCAAATTATATTCAGAATTATAGCTGCAAGGGAGTCTGAGAATTGTAATTTTCAGCCATTGAGCCCCAGAATTCAGGGGAACCTTGGAAGAGATTGAAAATTGATGAGGAATGTCACATACAGTATCTAGCACAGAACATGCCTCTGAATTGCTAAGATGGGCATGAGACAGGGTACTGTCACTAGTGGATGAATAATATGAGGAGATAAAGGCAAGAGAATTCTTATAAAAACATGCCGTGCTCTCAGAGTACTTAGAAAGATTAAACTAATTCTTAATTAATTATAAATTTTGTGATATAGAATTAAATGCAATAGATGCTGAGAAAAGGTAGAGAGACACTTTGGTGCTGCAGTGGTCTGAAAAGGTTTGGGGAAGGAACTGAGCACTGACCAGGGCCACAAAGAGTGAACAAAATATGCACATTGGCACTGGTAGAAGGAAGGAAATGGAATTTCAGGGCCAGGATATGGCTAAACAGGAAATACATCGTCAAATTTTGGCTACTTGAACTCACATTCACAGATAATGGCTGGATTTCATCAGAGTGAGCCACATTTCAGAGTCTAGCTGAGACACCTGAAAAGCTTTTCATCCTTGCCTGCCTTTGAATATTATCAGTCCTTTCTATACTGACTGCAGGTGGATTACAATCTGTTTTTATGTAAACTTATTTACATATTAGATATTTGTTAGTCTCTATTTTGTTATCTACTGCTATGTAACTCATTACTCAAATACTTAGCAGAGTCAAACAGCAAATGTTTATCTCACCTAATTTCTATGGGCCAGGAATTCAGGAGCAGCTTGGCTGTGTGGATCTGACTCTGGGTCTCCCTTGAGGTCGTAGTCATGCTGTTAACCAGACTGCAGCCTTTTGATGGGCTGGGTGATTTACTTCCAAGCTCATTCATGTGGATGTTGGCAGAAGGCCATGTTTCTTCACCATGTGGGCCCCTTCACAAGAAGGTCACGACTTGGCAGCTGGCCACACTAAGCAAGTGATTTAAGAGAGTAGAGCAAGACAAACAAACCAAGATAGAAGCTGCAGTGTCTTTTAGAGTCTAATTTCAGAAGTTAGATATCATCACTTATGCTTTATTTTGTTGGTCACATAGACCAACCCTACAATGTGGGAAGGGATAACACCAGGGGATGCAGAAGCTACCATGGAAATTGGCTATCACAGTCTCTATAATCCCCAAATAAATTAGCATTAATACATGGTGTTTTAGTTAGCAAAAGTTAGAGCAGCTTATTCAAGAATCACATACTCATAGAGAATCAGAGACCTTGTTTCATTCTTATGATTCTGTTGTTCTAGGAATTTTAGGATTACAGTTAGAAATACTCACTGATGCTTCTAACCCTTATATATGGATCACCGAGATGTGAATATACATTTTAAAATCTCCAAATATTATTCCTGACATCTCTATTTACAAGTTAAGGTTATTTCAATTGAACAAAAGTGGAAACTGTAGCATGTAGGTAAATTTCCAAAAATTTGGAAATTAACTTCAAATGTAGAAGTTGTTTGTTATTCTGGCCGATGATATGCTTTTTTGTTTGAATGAGACTTCTTGTTTGATACATGCACTATTTAGGTAAATGATTATTTTTGCTCTATTGTAGACCATTAGTAGGACTATTATATTTATTATAAATGATTATACTGGTATTTCTTATTTGACAGTCTCACATCTGGAATTTGTAAATAAGTAATGAGTTCGGTATACACTTTTGGAAGACTTAGAGTTTTAAAAAAATTTATTTTTAAATTAGTTTTGACATACAATATTATATTAGTTTCAGGTGTACGACATAATGATTCGACATTTATATACCTCATGAAGTGATCACCATGACAAGTTTAGTAACCATCTATCCTTGCACAAAGTTATTATGATATTATTGACTATATTCCCTGCACTGTACATTACATCTCCATGACTTATTTTATAGCCGAAATTGTGTACCTCTTAACCCCCTTCACCTTTTTCATCCATTCCCACCATCCCGTTCCCTTTGCAACCATCAGTGTGTTCTCTGTATCAGTCTGTTTCTGTTTCGTTTTGTTTATTTTGTTTTTAGATTCCACATATATGTGAAATCATGCAGTATGTCTTTCTCTGTCTGACTTATTTTGCTTAGCATAATACCCTCTAGGTCCATCTACAAGAGAAAATGATGAATCAAGAGATGAGGTAAACATGAGATGTGTGAGACTGCTGCTAGCATAACACAGCACACTGTTTTACAGCAAACTTTTTTTATAAGTAAAAAGAGTACACTCTAAAACAATGATAAAAAGTATGGTATAGTAAATACATAAACCAATAACATGGTCCTTTATTATCATTATCAAGTATTATGTACTTCATTATATGTGCTGTACCTTTATACGACTGGCAGCACAATAGGTTTGCTTACACCAGCATCACCACAGACACATGAGTAATGTGTTGCACTACATTACAATGACTATGACATCACTAGGTGACAGGAAAATTTATAATCTTGTAGGACCACTGTTGTATATGCAGTCCATTGTTGACCAAAACATTTTATGCAGCATGCGACTGTATTTAGGGTTTAGGAACTGAGAAGCAGAGTGACTTGCTATTGTCTTTGTCACAAACCAAGCATAAGGCATCATTGTGGTCAGAACAGACATCTCCTGCCTCCAAATCCAGGAGAAGATTCTTGCCTTTGTACAATATAGCCACTCCTTGAGCTGCGTGGTGTGCTTTGCCTACTCAATATAAGACAATCTAAGATTTTGCAAAAATCAATAGAAAACAGTTCTGGTATATGTTTATCGACTCCTTAATACTATCTTAGTCTGGTGTGGAGAGATTCTCGTCCTTACAATTTAATCACAGGTGGATTAAAGGAGTTTTTGGAAGAGATAGAGACTAAACGATTTCTGGATTATCAAATAACTAAAGGGAGGCAAACATTTGACCTAGGTGGCCAGAGAATGTCTTCTTATATCTTAAAATGACAATGTGGCAATAATGCATCCTTAAATTTTAGAAACTAGCCAAAAGAAACTTAAGATTTTATATTGAGGAATCTGACTCTACAGGCAACTTTTAATAACAATGCAAATAAACAACATATTGAATGTTTCCAGTGCCGTAACAGTGAAATATTGATGATATCTCACAAAATTGCCGTGAGGAGAGTCACAAATTAAATTCTATAATAATTCTACCAGGGAATTTCTCGCTTTATTTTCTTTTTAAAGAAGTATCCTTCAAGCTTCTTTAGTGACTAACGTAAGACTTAAAAGCTCTAGTTCTAGAAATAGTAGAACGATAATAATTTTCCTTTCCAGTTACTCATCTGAGCCCTGAATTAAGACACTTACACAGAAGAAAAAAATATTAAGTTATTAAAGTCCTTAGGAGTAGGGCCCTTTTAATTTAAAGAGCTTGAAGAAATAATCAAGTTCAGAACAGGAAGAGATGCCGTGAAAATTGGATCAGTAGGTGGAGAAGCTCTATATATGTGACTGACATTTATATCTCTGTCCAGGATCTCTTCTCCCAATTCTAGATCTGCATATCCAAGTTCTTATACCCAGCATCTTCATTTGGATGTCTGAGAAGCAACTCAAATATAACATGTTCAGAACTGAACTTCTGATCATCCTTTCCAAACTAGCTTTTCTTTTAGTATTCTGCATTTTAGTTCACACTTCCAGCTATTCAGGTTCAAAACCTTGAAGTCTTGACTCTTCTTTTCCATCCCGCATCCACTTGATGGGGAGCACGGCATAGGGAACGCAGTTAGCATTAATGTAATGGCTAGGTGGAGAGCCAGAGGAGAGAAAGAGCAATTAGGGGGATTGTTTTATGAACTATATAAATGTCAAAACAGTGTACGGTATACTTGAAACTAATAATAAAATAAAATTTTAAAAAATCTATCTGTCAATCTTATTGGCTCTGCAGTTATGTCTGTGGTTATACTCACAACCCATCATTCTGTACATCACTTAGGCTGCCTCCCTGGTCTGAGCCATTATCATCTGTAATACCTTCCTAACTGATTCCCTACTTTGACCTCCACTAAAACAATGTACGGTATACTTGAAACTAATAATGAAATAAAATTTTAAAAAATCTATCTGTCAATCTTATTGGCTCTGCAGTTATGTCTGTGGTTATACTCACAACCCATCATTCTGTACATCACTTAGGCTGCCTCCCTGGTCTGAGCCATTATCATCTGTAATACCTTCCTAACTGATTCCCTACTTTGACCTCCACTGCTTCCCCCCACCCCCATTTAGTCTATTCTCAATGCAGAAGTCAGAATAATCCTTTAGAAATGTAAGTCAGATCATGTCACTGAGAGTAAAAGTCCTTACTATCATTTACAAGACCTTACATGTTCTCTTTCTGTCCTTGTCATCCATTGTTCTCCTTTTCTCCATTCCAGCCACACAGACTTCCTTGCAATTCCTCTAACATGCCAGGTATGCTCCCACCTTAGGGCATTTGAACTTGCTCTTGTTCCTGTTGTTGTCCCAGAGAGTTGCCTGTTTCACTCACTCACTTCTTACAGACCTTTACTCAAAAGTCAGCTTTTCAGTAAGCCTCTCCTTGGACACCTTATTTAAAATTGTGAACTGGCCCACCTTCCCAAGTCCTTATGTCTCTCCCTTGCCTTATTTTTATCCATAGTATTTACACTGTCTAACTCACTTTCCTGGACTGTTTGTTCACTGCTGTATCCCCAGTACCTAGAATAGTGCCTGGCTCAGAGCAGATACTCAATGAATATTTGCCGAACAAATGAGTAAATGACTACTACTGTTACTTGATTTGGTTGGGAGATTTTGAGGTCGGGCTTTGTCATCTCCCTTCTCCGCCAAATTTGAAGAGTTCATTTTGAGATCAGAAACTTCATTTCTACCATTGTGGGTTTTTACCCTACTTTATATAAACTGCTTAGGAGGAGTACCCTGTTGCTATGAGAGAAACAGGATTTTGTTTTCCAAGAACTGCGGTAGGGGCTGTTTCTTCTTTCTGCCCTTCCTTATGGTAGGACTTCCCTGACTTGAGTGGACTACTGAGGTTCTCATTGGGATAATGACATCCTGAAAATCTTGATAATTGCTGGAATGGGAGACAGAATGCCTCTGGAATGGAGATATCATAATCTGGAAAGTAGGGATTTTATGCAAAGAGAATAGATCTGTGTCTTATGCATTTACCTTGTCCAATATATGAAGAAAAGAGGTAGGCAAGAGACACACTTTACTTTCCACCTCTTCCTTCTCTGATTATTCACAATATTTTCCCCCGAGCTTTATAATTGCCTGCTTCTCTCTCTCTCAACATACATCCACTATGGCTGGAAGTCACACATTGATGACTTCGTGATCCTACGTGTTCCTATCAATCAGGAGCCTGACCTCATCATCATATCTGTGACTAGCCTCTGTAGAATTAGCAACATTTTGAAAAACATAGAATTTTAGGGGGAAATATTTTATAGCTTGACTTTAAATTTGTAATAAATTCACTTATTCGGAAAACAATAGATTCCACATGTCTTACTGAAAATTTTGATAAATATGCTTAGAAAGAATACTCTGTTCTTTATTGGATGATACAAGAGACAACAGACTGTATTAAAGCCAATAACAAATAGACCGTTCAGCAAATGGACTATGCACAATTATTACACTGGTACCCTATGAAATGATTATCATGTAGGAAACCAATACAGTGTTTGGAAATAGAAAAGCCAAATTGGGCATACTGTAGAATTCTGATAAAATAAAAAGAATGAATATTTTGAAAATTAAAGTTAAAAAAAAAATCAGTTTTGTGCATTTATGTTGCCTATGTTGCTATGACCGTAGGCTAAAGGCCATGGAATCAATATTTTAATATTCTTCCAAAATAATTGCCTCATTTCTCCTGGCTTTAGCTTTGAGGAACATGGGCCTAATAATGACTGACCTTTCTTGTTAGTTGGCTTTAGTCCTGGACCTTCAGTCACTGACCTACAGGATGCTCTTGGGCAAGACTAAGGGAACTGACAGGTATGGTTTGGTGGAAGATATCACATTCAAACCTGAGGTATCACACAAGAGAGCTTTCTGGAGAATAGAGTTTTATAACTCCTTATACTTTATAACATTCTGTCTCCAGCTCAGCCTCTCACTTGTTGTGGAGTCCTGGACAAATCACATTCTTTCATTTTAGCCTGCATTTTCCTCATTTTTAAAATGAGTGGGGTGGATTAATTTTCTCTATTGTCCTTTGCAGTTGTAAAGTGATAGGCAATCACTCAGCTGCACAACAATGACCATCCACCTTATTCATCATAATAATATTAATATGATACTTTTGATTTGTATAGTGCTTTATTAGCTTTTACCATCCACAGAAACCACTGCAGATCATGTTGGCTAAGAATCATTCACCACCTCTACAAATAGAGCTTTCTTTTCAGGGAGTGGTGTTTAGGAAAGCTTTCTAAATGAAATGATCCCATAGCAGGTACTTGTAAGACGTTTATAAAGAGAAAAGAAGAAAAAAAAGCACGAGGAAAAGGCAAACTGTTTTACTTCAACAAATAATGAAAATCAGTTTGCTTACATGCTTCTTTACATTCCTAACACTTTAAAAAGCTTTGTTGCTTAAACGTAATTTCACAGTCAATTAATCTACCACATACTGTATGCTCTTTTCTGTAGGCTGTTGTTCTAGGCACCCAAATCTCACAAACTGCGTTTTTGCTACATTTTTAGGTTGATTTAAATGTGACTGCTGAGAGTGGGCACCATCTGATTTTCAGAGAAAAAACACTTCAAAAATGGACTCAGGGAACAGAAAAGCCTCTGTCAGAGATGATTCCATGTTCAATATGGCCAATCTTTGATTCTGGGCCATCAGAACCTGGGACCTGGGTCTTAGAGAGCAGCTCCCTATCTCCTTCGCTGATCCTTTTGTTAAAGTGCAGCTGAATTTTAGAGGAAATAGAATAAAAGGGTCATAGGAGTTTCATGAAAATCAGTGGAGAAATAAATGGAACTTCTATCAGCTGATTGGCTTCTGAAGGAGGAAAGAGGATGAGTACTAGACTACACATTAGGGTCCAGCTCTGCTAATGGGTGGAGTGAACGAGGGCGATTTATGTCACCTTCGCCTTGCAAGCTGTCAGCTCCATCTGAAAAGTAAATTGACTGTGCTGCTCGCTATGGCCTCCATGTGTCCTAACTGTTACCAGAGAAGTACCAGAGAGGAGCCATGAAAATAAACACATGTTCATTTCCAAATACTTTGGAATGTATATGCAACACAGATAAAAAAAATTTTGGTAAGTGTCCATTGCCTCTAATAAGGTTTTCTTTCGGGATTGTGAACTGAGACTTGTAAAACATTGATCTATTGTATTAGCGGCACTCACACCTTCTCTAATCACTCTGGCTGAAAAAAATTTTAGGGGTCATCATACAGTGTTTTAGTTTAAGTCCAAGTGAGACCGTAAACTTCACAGGACAGGAATTTTGTCTTTTGTGTTTTATGTTCTATAATGTACCATGTACATTTACACAGTTTGATAAATTATAAGAATAAAAATAAGTGCTGATGCAACACATTCATCCATTTAATATTTAGTAGATTTTAGTGATGGCTTCACTATTTTATCCTCAGATATTTTATAGTGTTTGGAGTTTTTATGGCAGTCTCTCAGAGACAGACTTTAAGTTTAAATTTTGCCTTTTGGAGAGGCATCGATTCTAAATGCCCTTCTGGGGCCCATTCTTTAGCCATTGAAAGACTCAAGCTGACTTACCTCAGGAGCCTCTTTAAGGCCATTTGCTGTTGCATTAGTCAGCTCCCTTTGGGGGATATCTAGCACTATTCATTGCTATGTATACTTTTCCAATTTTACACAATTTATGGGAAGCTCTTTTCAGATGAATCTTCTAAAACACTGACTTCATTATGTCATTTTTTGGCTTAAAACTGGCAACACTTCTAAGATTAAATCTCAACCTATCGGCTTGAAATTCAAGGTCTTCCATCAGCAGAGAAACATATTCTAGTATTTCTCACTTACAAAACAAGGAAATAGTCAAACTAACAACAAGAACGACAACAAACTTTTCCTGAAGTCACTTATCCTCCATCATTGCTTTACTTCTGTTTCCTTTATAGCAAGACTTCTTGGAATAGTTTTTTATACTCGATCCCCTTTTCTTGCCTCCTAGTCACTATTCAACCCACTCCATGTGGTGCCTGTAATTCATTATTCTATTGGAACTACTCTTTTCATGTTTATCAACCATCTCCATGTTGCCAAATCCAGTGGCCCCAGTTCTACCCTCTCTAACATGACTTCTCAGCAAGGTTCAGCATATTCTTCTGGTTTTTCCTTCTGCCTTCCTGACTGTTCCTTTCAACCTTTTTTGCTACTTCTTCTATTGGACCTCAGATATTGAAAAGTTTCTAGGCTCAGCCTGGAGTTCTCTTCTCTTTCTTCACTTTTTACCTAACTAGTTTTACTTAGCCCCATGGCTTTAAATATCTTCTATAGGCTGATGTCTGTTTTTTTTCTTCTTCTCATATTTCTAACTACTCCCCTAGATTCCAGATACCCCTAACCAACTGTTTTCTTTCACTTTGTACTTGGATATTATGCTCACGCAGCTGGATACCTTCCCAGTATTTACTTTCCCCAAGAGAACCCTGGTATTGTTTGGGGTAGCAATATGCATAGTTAAGAACTACATTTTTAGACATCCTCACAGCTATGAGCAGTCATGGGAGATGTATATCAAAGCCTTCTGGAGATTTCTGGGAAACTTTCAATCTTGGTACATACGCACACCCTTCCTCATTTTGCTGCCTTCTTATTTCAGCCTGAACCATGGGCCACTCTCTGCCTTCTCACTGTGCGTCTGACACATTGGTCTCCTTTTTGTCCTAGAATATGAACATGAACTATTTTTCTCCTAAGAACATATGATCTTGCTGCTTCCTCTTCCTGATGCCTGCAGGAATTATGACTGCTTATAATTTAGGTTTCAGTTCAAACACCATTTCCTCGGAGAGGCTTCCTTCAGCGTCCTAATGAAAGTAAGCGGCCTCATCTGATGTGGAATGCCTATCCTTTTATTTATTTCTAAGTCAAGTCAAGTCTACCTCAAGGCTCACCATCTCCAGGAAGCCTTTCTCTAATTATTTCAATCTATAAGGATCTTTCTGTTTCTTGATCTCCACAGTGCTTATCTATACTATCTTTTCTGGAGTGTGACTGACTAGACAGTCTTTGCTGTTCATAGGTAGTTTTGGTATATATGCCTCACTTATCTAAGCAGAATATAAGCTTTCTGAAAATGATAGGTTTTGAATTTTTTAAAAATATCTTCAGTGCTTGGCTCATGGCTGAGGCTTAAAAATATATATCAATTTAATGATGTTTAGATTTTTGGTAAATAATGCCTTCATAGCAATCACCTGCTTTTGTCTTTACACTGCAGGGTTTTTTTTGCAGAAATATTTCCCTGCTTGATTATAAAGAGGATCTCCTAATGTTTTAATTTTATCTTTTGTCTGGCTAAAATCAAGGCAGGATACTAGTATATAAGAATATAAAATACATTTTGCAATAATTTTATTTCAGTTGGTTTTAGAACCAAAAGTGAAGATAGTTATGGTATTGATTGACATTGCTCTTCTCCATGAATATACACATATGTGGTGTGGGTAAGAAAGCCTGGCATGTGATGGTGAGCTGTAGCTTTCAGAATTTTTGTTTCAATGTAGGAGAAAAGTACATTTGTTTCTACTCAAAATGATGTTATGAATCATTTTCAGTAGGGCCTGAAGTTCTGGGTTCATTTTTCCAGAGGCGATTAGCGATTATGGATTTGTGCAGATCCATACCCATACATCTTTCCTGGCATCCATGGCAACAAAAAAGGTACATCTTTGAGAAGCTTAATAGGGGCAATCAAGAGAGGGTTTTTTTTTTTTAATGCAAAGCAAGCTGGTCCATTTGAGGTTCAAATCCCAACTGCAGGTCTTATTAGGATTAGTCATTATCGGGCTGAATGAACCAATCCAGGAAATGAACAATTGCTCTGTAAGGGTATCATATTCCTACTTTATCTGAGATTTTGTAAGGGAAGTAATAACTTGCTTAAATTTAGTCAAGATTCAAAGAACCTAGAAGTAACCATCTCATCCCAATTTGTTCATATTTTTGGGTCATCTGGGTCAGCAATCTCACGAATGTACACTGGTCAACCCTATTTAGGTCAATCTTTAAATTCAGAAAAGTTCAGCTAAAATTTAAATCAAATCTATAATGAAAAAAATAAATCTTTAAAATACAAAAGATTAAAACCCAGAGAAATGTAAATTTAAATTGGGGTTATCAGAGAACATTCTTCATCTGATAGAGTCGCCACATTTTAAGGGGATTGTAAAATTCTCCATGTTTACAAGGAGGATATAATGAAAAATAACCTCAAAACAGGCACTCAGAAAACATCGAGTGAATTTAATACCCTTCCTTACTAGTAAAAGTAAATAAAAGTTTCTACAACAATTTGAAAATTATGAAGGGACTACGTCCACATCAAATATTGTATGTCAGTAGAAATTGCTCTAAAATGACATCATGGTTATATTTCTTTTAGGAAAGATGTGTTTTAGAAAACATTCCAGTTTTACATTTTTATTTTAATTGAAGTTGTGTGAGAAAAATGATTTTCTCTGTGGAAGGTATCTGCTGATTTGGCATCCTATCTGATCCCATGGGTTCTGTGTGTCTAGGCAATATTCCTTGAATTTCGGTGAAAAGGTCATCTGCTGTTAATAACTGTGTGCTGAACTTCTGTTGTTGTGTACTGTTTAGGTAGGAGAAGACTAGAGGACAATGTGTATGTATGTGCTGGTGTTGATAATTTTCCACGAACAGATGGCAAAATGATAAACTAAAAATGTATGTACTGCACTGTAAACATTTCCTCCCGAGTGATTTGGCAGACTGACAATTGCCAGATAAGAAAAATAAGGGTGTTTGTTTAGAGCCTTAGGAAAAATGTAACGCCTGAAAATAAAAGGAGATTATTTGCATGTTTAACTCTTAAAAGCAAAGAGGGAGTTCTTTTAACTAGGAAATGTTACCTTTGAACTCACTTGTAAAGGACTGTTGATCAGTTTTGGGCTTAGTGTCCTGTGTTGGTTATAATTACTTGTGTATAATTACTCTCCTACACAGGTTTCTTTGAGGATTTTGTTAGTTGGTTATTTTTTCTGTCCTGTCTCAGAAAATACTGAATATTTTCACATGGGCTACTTTCGGGGATTCCCAAAGTAGGCCTTTCCAAAAAGAGCTTTCTGAAGTAGACTCCAGAAGATCTGGAGAGACCTGGACCCTGAGTAACATTTTTGTAACAAAAGCTTCACAATGAAACAAAGGGAGGGGCAGGTTCAGAAAACTATTGCTCTGAACAACCAATCAAAGCAGGGAGGGTCATTTCCCCTGAGCACTGACCTTGACCCTGGTTCACCTTGATCAGACCTTTGTCTGGGCAACTAGAGATCCCACCAATCAGTTCTGAGCTCTTTTGCAAGGAATCTTTCTGGGAAGACACTGAACATGGGGTTGTCGCCTCCAGATCATCACTGCTTCCCTGGGGGCAACCTCTGTGGCCTCTCAAGAAGTTCTGTCTCTCCCTGGAGAATCTCCCTAGGAGATAGGTTGAGCCATCTGTGTTCTCATCTTCTCATAAGGCCACGAAGCATCATGAAGAGCACAGGGTTCTGTGACACAGACAAAAGAATAACCAGTGGGACAGGATGAAAATTAATCCAAAATAAACAAAATAATGGCCAAGAGGAAAGATAGAGGGTCAAAAAACATATGGGTAGATTCTCACGGGAAATACAGTGAGGAAGACACATTTTTCCCAGTCTTCTGGCACCCACAACAGCTGGTGGGGGTTTGTGGATGGTCCCAGGGTCCACTTCTAAGTGGAGAGGAAAATGATATTTTAAAACATTTATAGACTATATTTTATAGAGCAGGTTACAGAAAAAATAAGCAGAAAGTACAGAAAATTCCCACATACTCCACCCCTCCCTGATTTCTCCTATTATTAACACCTTGCATTGGTGTGGCATGTTTTTGTTACAATTGATGAATTAATATTGATACATTATCATTAACTACGATCCATAGTTTACATTAGAGTTCACTTTGTCTTGTAAAGTACAATGGATTTTGTCAAATGCCTAATGTCATGTAGCCACCTTTACAATATCCTACAGAATAGATTCACTGCTCTAAAATCCCACCGTGTTCTGCCTTTTTACCCTTCCTCCCCTTCTGCCTACCACTCCTTGGAAACAATTGATCTTTTAACTGTATCTATAGTTTTTCCTTTTCTAGAATTTCACATAGTTAGAATCATACAGTATATAGGCTTTTCAAATTGGCTTCTTTTTTACTTAGCAATATAAATTTAAGTTTCCTCGACGTCTTTTTGTGGTATGATGGCTCATTTCTTTTTATTACCGAGTAATATTTAATCGTGTGGATGTACCACAGTTTGTTTATGTATTCACTATTGATGGTCAATTGGTTGCTTCTTATTTTTGGCAATTATGAATAAAATTACTCTAAATATCTGTGTGTAGGTTTTTTGTGGATACAAGTTTTCAACTCATTTGAGTCAATACCAAGGGATGTGATTGCTGGAGTCTATGGTAAGAGTATGTTTAACTTTGTAAGAAACGGCTAAACTATCTTCCAGAGTGGCCGTACCATTTTGATTTTCACTAGCAATGAGTGGAAGTTTTTCCATAACCTTGTCAGCATTTGGTGTTATCAGTGTTTTGGATTTTAGCCATTCTAATTAGGTATGTAGTGGTAGCTCATTGTTTTAATTTGCAATTACATTTACAGTTCAGTTTGAGCATCTTTTCAAATGCTTATTTGCCATCTGTATATCTTCTTTGCTGAGGTGTCTGTTTAGGTCTTTTGCAACCCTTTTGGGGTTGTTTGTTTTCTTATTGTTGGGTTTTAACAGTTTTTTGTACATTTGAAAGCCAAGTCCTTTATCAGATATGTGATTGAAAAATATTTCCTCCCAGTGGATACATTTCTCCCAGTCTATGACTTGTCTTTTTATTCTCTTAACAGTCCCTTAGAGCAGAAGTTTTTAATTTGAAAAAAATTTTTGTGTATGTGAATTTCGAAATATGAGAGGTAAGAAAAGTAACGGAGAGAGAATGAGGAAATTTTAGAAGAGCGTTGCTGTGACCTACATACACCTCTCAGAATATTTGAGAAATGCAAGTAAAGACTTGAGTTAGTTTTAACTGACTTTGTGTTGTTGGACTGTACTTTTTGAATGTGAGAACTCTGAGCGCCTGAACTACACGGTCACAGCTTTTCAGTACTCTGTGACCCTGGGTAGCTGGGATGAGTATCAAATGGGTAACATATGTAAAGGGCATATGGCAATTAGTAGGGGGGCTATATGTTAATTTCCTTCTGAATAGGAATGTTGTGGGCATGTGTGGCTGCCTGAGAGCAGGTCCAACGCAACAAAATACCATCCCAAAAGGCGGCATTGCTGTTCTTGATTTAATTTCACCCTTTCTACCCCTCTGCTTTGGGCAGGAAAGAGAATGGCTACCCTTTGCAATTTTACAAAGGCTGGCTTAGCATCCTTACTCTAGGTGTCATAGTTTTCAGCCTTCACAAATTACACATACAATTGAGAATTGTGTTTTGAAGAATCTGAAAGAGTTTTGGCCATTGAATTGCAATTTTAATTAATTCAGAAACTACATATTCTACACTTATGATCACCAAGATAGAATATTAATTGAAAGGCACTACTTTCTTTCTATGACAAAAAGGGTTTTCTTCTTCTAGGTAAATGAATAGATTAAATATGATTGCAAGGGATAAAATTTCCTCACTTTAGAAAATATAATCCATACAAGACAACTGATTGGATTCAAATCTTGTCTTTTCCATTTGTTGGTTTACGAATCACCTCTCCACTTCCTCATCTTAAAATGAGGTCAGTAACCCCCATAATTGCAAGGTTGAATGATGAATAAGTGAGATGAGCAGGTAAACTTCTGGACGTGGTGACTGGGACATGGATGATGCTCGGCACATGTTCTTTCCACCCATTTCCCTTTGTATTGCAGGAATTGCTTCTTTTGAACCCTCTGCTGGATAAATCTATTCTCCATCCTTTGGGAAAACCATTTGCTCTCCTATCTCTGTATTTTGCTTCCTTTATTCACTCTATTTTGAGTATATATTCCCTTTCCTCTTCAACTATCTATCCCTTTGATGGCTTTCCTGATACTTTTCTAGAGGGCTGGTCGCTTTAACCCTTCTGATCTTAGCTCATTATGGTATTTAGTTCCAACTTCAGTATATTGCCTTGCATTGTTTATATGCACACGCCTTTTAAATACCTCGATCATATCTCTCCAGCATAACTTCTTTTGTTGGTTCCTTCACAGTGTGTATATAACAGTTTAACATAGTAGGGGGATCACAGAATAATTGGTATTTGGATTACAAATCATCTCTATGAGTTTCTTAAAGCAGCTGCCCAAGGACCTTTCTTACATTGCAATAATTTGCTAATCGTGTTTGAATTCCTTTGCAAAATTTTTGTTTTTTAAAAATATTTTTAATTCTTTTAAAGTCTCAGGAAAAAGAAAAGGTTAAATAATTATCATACAAAAGGTGCTTATGAAGCTTTTTAATAGCGTAGAGAAATGCTTGAATTGTCATGCAAAGTCATGCATATCACTTTGTGTAGTCATGCAACTACACAAACTATCACCTAATAACAAAGAAAATCAGGTCCAGAAATGAATACTGAATTTTTTTTTTGAAGTAACAGTACTATTATTTTCTTATCATTTCATTTGTAAGAAGAGAATGATTTTACCCACAAATGCTCCGTAGTTAACTTAGTGTGCATGCAGAACGATCCTGATTTATGCCACTAGAGGTCACTGTGGTTCTTTAGTTATTTTTTTTCCATTTGGCGTCCCTGTTAGTAGGGGAAAAAAGCATTCTGTCATGGTTATTATTTTTAGCAAAGTTAAGAGAAATGTTAAAATGATAGCCTCCTTTTTTAAATACAAAGAAACATTTTCTAGAGCAATTGTACTTCTTTTATAGATTCCATATTTTAGGCCATGACTATCAAAAACATTTTTATTTTATATTGGCAGCCAAAATTTAATTTATTAGTGTGAAACATTATCACTATACCATTTCTTCTGCTATTAAAACAGATTTGCCCCCAGTGCCCCCATGCTTTCTATGGTGTGAAAATAATATAGGACTAACCTTTTCTATTTTTGGTTCAGCTTTTCTTTTTCTTTTTTTAAAGATTGTTTCCTAGCAGGACAGGAATATGGCTTCTAGAAGAACTCTGTAATCAAGTATTAAAATAAATTAATGACACATGAGATGTACACATGTAAGGACTTGCTAAGATGAATGCAGAAATCAAGCACATTCTATTAATGGACTGCTGTTTCTTTAAAAGAATTTTTTCTGGTAAATTTGGCAGGGATACAGACTATGTTTTTCTGTTTGAAAATGATCATATATTAAGAATTAGAAAAAGGAAGTATTGCCCCAATATTGATAGGATGCATGCTGAGTATAACATCATCCAGAATGCTTAAGTGACGTGATAATCAAGGTCCTTAGCTTTCCTACTGGAGTCTCACATACATTTGACTATAAACTAGGAAGCTCTAAATTTTATATTGCTTTGAAACCTCATCCTTTTCTCTCATCCTCTTTTTCTATTTGCATTCTTGAAAAGTGGTGTCACAATCACCTCACAATATCCTATTTATTTTTCACAACCTGGGTCATTTGGTTTCCTATGTATTTTTCTTCCTATGGCATTATTGCTCAATTCACAGACATTTTCCCCAGCTCAAAATGTATCTTAATGAATCTCAGAGTTGATTATCCATTATTTATCATGGGCCCTAAATTTAGCAGGATTAGCGAGATTAGGATGTGCGTTGCATATGGGAAACCCACTGCCCATTCCGATAACCTACAATATTCTTTAAAAACCTGCATGATTTTTTGCTCACATCTTCTGACTAAAATGTGCAGCTCTATCTCCCTAACTTTGCTAAAGGCTCTGCTGAGGCTGTAAGCAGCAGGCAGGATTGACTGTAGTGGACAGCCCTGCTGTGCTATGAGACCTTTCTTTCTCAGTTAGTTGCATTTCTTTCAAACCCAATCTCTGTCCTCGCTTTGGGAGGCCACTTTCATAATTGGGTTTCTCTAAAGTGGGGTGATTAATGTTTGTCTTGACACAATTAACAAGGAATAATTGGCTAGCTAAGCCCCCCCCTTTTTTTTAAAAAGCGCTTTCCTTTTTCCTTTCAAAGAATGCATTCACCTTCCTGTCTGTAACCCAGAATCATTCAAAGCTATTTAGAAATATTTTCTTCAGGGTCTCCCTAGTTGGGGCTTCCATCATTTAGTTCAGTGTTTCTCAAACTTTTAAGTTATACCCTTGGAAATATGTACTTTTGACAGGGAAGGGAATATGTCATGGTGTTTTTTGAGTCAGAAAAACTGGATCTGAGCTCTAATTCTACCACTTACTAGCTGTATGACTTTCAAGCTTCATAATTTCATCAAATTAATGTTGATATTCTAATCTTTAAAATGAGCATAGTAACAATGGCAAATAGGATAATGTATATAAAATGATTAGTATTCTATGTGGTAAATGGTAAACACTCAACATGTGATAGGTAGTAGTAGTAATAGTGGTAGAAGTAATAGAAGTTTCTGTCAGTACTGTTGACATGATACCACAATGAAGGTGCATTTAGGCTAGAAAGTAGGCTGGGTTCAAGCAGTGTTCTCTGAGGAAAGCCAGTCCATGAGGATGCTACGTGGTGCAAAATGACATGTGGTTCATTCAACGACTACTTGAGTGCTTATGAAGAGACAGGCACCATTCTGGGTCTTAGGTTTGCAATGGTGAACAAGATAATGTCTCTGTTCTCATGAAGCCAGTATTCTAGTGAGGGGAGACAGATGATAATCAAGAAACCCACTGATAGTGGGAAATGCGAAATACAATCAGGTAATGGGATCGAGTGTCTGGGAGTGTGAGATAGGGGCTGTCTTAGATTGCATGGTCAAGGAAGGCCTCTTTGAGGAAGCAGCATTTGAACCGAAATCTGGTGATAAGAAGCTGGCCAGGTGAAGAATGGAGGTGAGGAAATGTTATAGACAAAAGGAGTAAAGTACAAGCTTTGAGAGTAATGAGCTTGTTATGTTCAAAGAACAGAGGGTTGGTGAGGCTTGAGCCAGAGTCAGATTATGTAGGACCTAATAGGGTATGGTGGGTAGGTATGGAAGTACACCTCTGAGGTGCTCCCTGTACTCTAACGGGAGCACATTGCTTTCCTCTTTGAATGTGCCTGTTATGGATGGTGAAGCATGGTGCTGACATTCTTCTAGCCAAAGTGGGCTTTGATTCTTCCCACATCCTTCTCCTTCCCTTCCCTTCCCTTCCCTTCCCTTCACCAGCTGTTTTCCAAATTCCGCTGAGCCTAGCTCCTCAGTGTTCCTTGAACTGGACCTTGTTTCACATCCCTCTCTCCCATCTTCAGTCAGGTTCTTGTTACTGGGCCTGGAAAGTATCTGTGAGCTGGCCCCTCAGACTCTCTCTCACCTGTTTCCTCTAGTCTACACACTGCTGTATATTAGCAGCATACTCTACCCCCCAACTACATCTGGGTAAGCCACCTTTCCGTCCCATGCCTCCTAATGGCTCCCTCTTGTCAGGGGAATAAAAGATAAAACTTTATCCCCACATTCTCTATTCCTCACCCAATTTTCCAGCCATAACTTCCACTTACCATACTCATATTCCTTCAGCTTAATTGAGCTACTCCTAATTCCATAATGATGCTGTGAGATTTCCTTATTTATCTTTGTTCCCAAGCCTTTGCTCATATTGTTCTCTTGGATGGCAGGTCCTCCTCTCCAAATCTACCTGTTGTTCAAGGCCTACCTCATATGTCACCTTCTTTATGAAATCTTCCTTGACCTCCAAACCCGAGAAGACCCCTGCCTCTGAACTCTGGAGGCACTTTGCTTGTACCTTTCCCATGGTGCTTATCTCCTTAACTTCTGGTACTAACTTGTGCACGTATCCCAGTGTCCTTTCTAACTGCGAACTCCTCCAGATCTGGAAGTAATATTCACTCAGGCTGGTTTCCTTCAAAGGTTCAGCTACTACCTAGTACCTACTTTTTTTTTTTTTTTTTTACCAAGATAACTATAATGACACAAGAATAAAGAAATAAATAATAAATATCAGATGAATATTACCAATGGGAGAAAAAAAAAGGCAGCAGGCACTTCTTATTGGGGTGGTCAGTGGAGGCAGTTTCATGAAGGGAATGAAGTAGAAGTGATTTATGGAAAAATTTGTATCTGCTGAGTCTTGGACTTAGTTAGAATGCAGTGCAGGAAAAGGAACATAGGCTTTCTATTTTTTTTGAACTGGGGTAGAATTTTATCTGTTACTTAGTAGTTTGATCTTATTAACTTATTAATCATGAGATTATTAAGAGGATTAAAGAAAATAACATATGTAAATAAGCTAATAGTAAGCTAACTTTGAGCGCTTAGCTCATCTAATCCTCATAATGACTCAGGGAGATAATCATCCTTCTCTTAGCATTAGTGTGGCTGAGATAAGGCATGCATGGCCTTTGGCATCATGCCTAGTCTGTGAGAAGTGGTCAGAAAATGACAGCAATTGTTTTCTTGTTGATATTTATTAAAAGGCAACCAGTAATTAGCATGTAAATGTTGTCTAAAGGAGACTGACCTGCATTTTCTCTTCAGCCTGTATGATGAAGCCATAGAATAAATAGGAAGCATCAACTTGTGTGTGTATATGTAAGAATAATGGGGCAGAGGTTAAGTCTGAATTTCTATTCTTATAAGTGTTTTGGTGACAGAATGTTCAAGAAAATCCACTAAATCCACTTTTTCTGTGTTGGCCAATTTCATCCTTTCTTGACAACTCAAAGAGTACATGATTGGAAATTGGCACTTATTATTTTTGTATTACCAAGAAACTTTTGGCTGTTAGAGAATGAGTTACATCAAAATAAACCAGACATTATGTTTTGGGAGAACACATGTTGGTTTTATTGGTCCCAAAGGCTAGTGCAACCTTTCCAGAGATGAGGCTCTAAACTGGCCTCAGCAAATCCTGCAGCTAGTCTCTGAAAAAATGAATTTTGTCTCTTTATGAACTAGTGTTTTTGAACTTCTAATTATGTCAAGTAAGAGTGAAATAAAATAAACAAAACCAACTGGCTCCCACATATCAGTATGACTTCTTGTCACAATTGTATTGGATCAAATATTTTATTTATGCCTGGAGAAAAATGAAAATGTAGACAATTCATTTTGTTCTAGATGAAAGTAATTTGACATATTAAAATTTCTTAAAAAGTTGGAAATAGATACAACCATATTATGTACTAGAAAGTAGAATGCACATGTATATTTAAGATTTTAAAAATGTTAGATTAAACTTTGGCCTTATTTTATTTTAGGCTATTTTCCTAGGCCCTGGAGGGTTGGGTTTAATCATCTTCTTTTTTTTTCTTTTTAAGTGAATCATTTTAGAAATAATAGATTTAGGTGTTAAGACATTATTAGTTAGTAACACCTTAGCTTGTATCAGCCTTATGAGTTTTGCATCACAGTGAGTGGAAATAGAGAAGCACAGACCCATAGCCTTGGAGGGAAGGAACCTGGTTAATGCTGAGAGGAGAAGGCTCTTCTGTGGAGGCTGAGGACTAGCTGGGGGTACTGGAGAAAAGGGGCGTCAGCAAAAGAGTGGCCAGAGACTGAAGACTTACTGAAGACGCAGGTTTCCCTGTGCTCATCATATCATCTTTTACCTAAGATAGGTCCTCACATAACTTCAGGGTGAATTGGGCTCATATTCATTTCCCTTCGCTCTTCTTCCCTCCTCTTCTCATGATGTTCTCTTCCTAAAAGCATGATCTCATGAAGTTGGTTGCCTCAAGATTAGGCACTGGATCTAGGTCCACCATTTGACAGATTCTTAAAGGAGGTCCAACCTCCTTGTTTGCTCCATCTTACCAAACTAAGCCATCAGGGCCAGATTTGTAGGTGTGTGGCCTGTGCAGTTGCACAGGGCTCTGCATTTAGAAGGGCCCTACATTTGACTTTAATGCTCTGCTGTCACTATCTTGAAGTCTTTAATTTTTGAACAAGGAGCTGTACATTTTCATTTCATGCTGGGCCCACCAAATTATATTGCTGGTCCTGTGACTTAATAAATCATAAGAAAATTTGATTGTAAAAGAAAGTCTTAGGGAATGTTGA